CACTGGCACCCATGGGACAACTGAGGCGTGCCCAGGCCACACATGGACGCATCTCGAACGAATCGCGTTAGCCGAGGCAAAGTTTTTGCGTTAAAATGTATTGTATGCTGGATTTAACATTAGGTGATGCCATTGTTAGCTGAGGGTCCACTGTAAAGTGATCAGAAATTTATAATTTGGCCAATTTTAACCCTATGACTGTCGCAAGCCCCTTTCTGAAACTGTCATTCCATGTTGCAAAATTTTTTGGAAAAAAAAAAAAAAAAAAAAAAAAAAAATCTTATGAAATGATAGAGAATTTTTTCCTCATGGTAATGACACCAAAAGTACGAAATTTGGCCGAAAACTCATGGAATTACACTTTCGCGAAGTTAGTGGTCTCAGCGACATATACACATTGGCGATTTTGCCGACTTTGAGCCCAGTTTTTGGCCAATTCCATTCTTCCAGTTGACCAAACTCATAGCTATTTCTTTAGAACTCCATTTTTTCTATCAGTTGAGTACAAGAAACCACCCATTTACCGATTTGAACTACCCAATAAAGTGGTCAGAAATTGGCAATTTGGCCAATTTCACGCAAATTAAAAAAGATGCCAATTTCAAAATAGGGTCCAGAATAAACAATGTAGACATTCTTAGCACTAAAATAACATATCCTCTGTTCATTAGTCACGTCTCTAGGCCCCTCTTATATTACTATTGCTTTCTATTTTGATTTTTTATTCACAAAAAATACAAAATTTACTGTTATGCAGACTACTCCATTAAAAATGGTATAAATAATATCAGTGCACTAGTGAAAAAATATTAGACTCCCCAGTTGACATGTATTGGACGTGTGGTGTGATTTGCTTACTCCTGAAAATTGGTAAAAATCAAACATTTCCGCTACTTTGAGCTCAATTTCACGGTCGTTTTCATCGTGAAACTAATCAAAATCATCTCTATTTCTGTAATATGTTTTATCAAGCGAGACCATGAAAATGAGAATACAACAATAAATGCTATACAAAAATACACCTCAAATTCAACATTTTAATAATAAAAAAAAAAAAAGTCGGAGTTTTTTTCTCGTTATGCACTGCGTGCTGCAGGATTTTTTTACGTGGTGCACACTGACCACACAGACCCATTCTCTCACATGTGAGCCTACGTGCTTTCTCCTGCTTGATTTGAAGCCACTAGATTTTTTTTTCAACAAGTCGGCTGTCTCCCACCGAGGCAGGGTAACCCAAAAAGAAAATACTTTCATCATTCAACACTTTCACCTCACTCACACATAATCACTGTTTTTGCAGAGGTGCCCAGAATAAAACAGTTTAGAAGTATAATACGTATAAAAATACACAATATATCTCCCCAAACTGCCAATATCCCAAACCCCTCCTTTAGAGTGCAGGCACTGTACTTCCCATTTCCAGGACTCAAGTCCGGCTAAATAAAAATAACCGTTTCCCCTGAATCCCTTCACTAAGCATTACCCTGCTCACACTCCAACAGCTAGAATTTAAGAGTATACGTATTAATACGTCCGAAACACTGGCTCGTAAGACGTATATATAGGACCAAAACAGTCAAAATGTTAAAGTTCAAAATATTCCTATTTCAAAATAGGGTCCAGAACAAACAATGCAGGCATTCCTGGCACTAAAGTAACATTACCTCAGTTCCTTAGTTACATTTCCAGGCTTTACACATGAATTCCATTTTTATTTTTTATTCACGCCAAAAAACAGAAGATTTACTGTTATGCAATACTGTAATAGTTGTATAAATTATATCAGAGCATTCTTGAATGCATATTAGGCAGCTGATGTGTACTGGATTCATGATGTGATTTGCTTACTCTTGAACATCGACAAAAATTGACCATTTCTGCTACTTTCATCTCAATTTCAAGCTATTTTCAATCCTAAAATGAACCAAAATCATTCCTATTTCTGTAATATATCCTCCCCTCTCTCTGAGACCAAGAAACTGAACAAAATCATAAAAACCATATGAAAATACACCGCAAAGTTGGTTTTAAACCAAAAACACGGTCACATTTTTTTTCTCATTATGCACTGCCTGCTGCAGAATTTGTTTTATATGGTGCACACTTACCACACAGACCCATTCTCTCGTATCTAGGCCCAAATTTGCTGCTCACAGCTTATGTGAGTGAGCTGAACTCATCACGTTGTACTAAGGCACGGAGACTGGGATAAAACCCGTAGAACAACGGCACGAACCCTCAAGTAGAGTTAATACTGCTTGAAATCAAGCAAATCTAAACTGAACTACAATGTTTTTAGCTGTTTTCTATAGAATACCACCACTGCTTGCATTGTTCAAGGAAAAAAAAAAGTGTCAAACAGCCCATGGAAAATGCCACTAGGACACACATCAAACTAGTTATCTATGTCAATCCTCTAATTAGTCACCTATGGATTACTCTGATTGAACTGCAATCATAAGCAAGGTTTTTTAGATATAGTATACGTATATAAAATGTAATTTTAACCCTGATGAATGACAATTAAAAACACACAGGAACCTGAATGTTTACAACTTGGATGCAATTTATAAATACTGGCAGCTTATGAGATACAATAAACTTGTCTCCAATTTGCAAGCTTTAGAGTATTAGACAACCAGGAAAGTTTCATCTAGAGAAAATAACGAAATTATTAATGACATCTTTAAGTCACCATAACTTGCCAATTTCAAATGAAAATTTTGTACTTTAAACAAGTATATAATTTTTAAACATTCTTTTAAATGAAAATGAGTACTCTACGATAAAAATAAATTCCAATTCTAGAATGGAAGCCATCACAATCACCGTGGACTTCAAGACTGGCACTACTCTTCCTTTGAACAAGCCCAGTTTCACTTCATTCCCAGTCAGACGATACACATGCAGTACTTTCAAATAAAAAATATAAATTTAAGTCTCTCACTCAATGATTGTGCATTATTGGGGGCACTATATTATACTCTCTGAATCATAAATGCACAACAGAATAAAAAAATTAATCAAAACTATACAAATTAAAAAAAATGTAAAAATTATTTATTAATTAAAAAGATAAATTAATATTTATTAAAGAAAGGCCCTCCCTTAAAACCTTTGGATGGATTGTATGAGGTCCGCCAGGACTGTCCCAGCCTGGGTCTTGTCCAGTTGGTGACCTGGGGTTAAAACCTTTGCTACCTGTTTTAATAAGCTGTAATTAAGATACAACTGGAGCACTTCCAGGGGCATACCACAGATGCCATCTTTTTTTATTTTGTTCAGAGCAGCCTCAGATTGTTGCTTCCAGAGGCAGAATTTGTAGCATGTACACCCGAGTTTAGTCCCTGTGCTGAAGTGGTGGTTGTAGTGGAGGAAAAGCTCTATTATTTAGTCAGAGATAAATCAATTTCCAATTTCACACCAAAATTTCATGTCTTAACTGCAAATGTTAGAACAGCACTCGTGTTACATCCATTTCAATACTGAAACCTCTATGGTTCCAAATTTATATCACTAGATTCCAAACAAACAATTATTAACACATGCTTACATAATCACTAACTTTGCCTTAATAATAATAACAATAAAAAAACTTTCATTTTAAGGTTTACCTTAAAACTTCACTACCTGCAAAACAAAACAGATGTCTTTTGGAAACAACTCAGATAAGCCTATCTGACTAGTCAAACATTAGCAATCTTTTTTGGCATATCTGATCATTAACAACTAAAAATAGATGAATTCCTGGAATAATTGCTTCTTGGTAAATCTTGAAATGCTCCTCTTCAAAACTATTTTTCAGCTTCATGGCATTTTCAACTGAAGAAACACAGTCTTTACAATCAATGGTAATTTTTTTTTTTCAAAGATTTACCATGTTTCTGTAGTTATTTATTTATTTATTTAAACCTTTTGTATGTTAGGTCTGCTACCATAATGATTAGCTACATAGAGCTGGTATACAACATTTAAAATTCAAGTGCTGAAGAGCTTTGTCTTGAGCTTTCATTAATTATCGAAGTGGCTTGCTATTTTGAAAGGGCTCCAATATGCATACAACTAATCTGGGTACTGCATCTGTAATAGTACCTACTTAACTAGCCAACCCAACACAATGGCACAGCAAGTATCCAACATGGTTGAATACAATCCACTAGCTCCCCAAAAGAGCCCTGGTGGTGGATGATGCAACTCTCCTCCCTGGTTGTCTTGCGTCTTACACGCACAACCAGGAGAGCACGAGATAAAAGTGTATATATTCACTAACTCTAGAGAGCCATGCACCAGTATCCCTGCCAGTGTGTCTAGGGTATTTAAAGCTAATAATATGAAGTCCCATTTTGCTATAAGCAACTTCGGGATTCAGGTACCTTCATCTTATCAAAAACAGTTCCAGTATTTCATTCTAATGATTTTAGGAAACACTCTAAACTCACGTAATGTCACCTTGTAACTTTTCTGATACCTCTGGCTTGGGTATATGATCCACATCAATCCAATATCTGTACTGCAGTAGTTCTTTCCCCATTACTGTGGCTCTGTGAAATTTAAAAATTCAATACTGTCAAAGTAAACAAAAAATGCAAGGGGGCCTTCAGCTTTCTTTAATAAGCATGACAAGGACCCAGTGCACAAATTCAAGTTTTGCTTTAGTAATTTGTTATCTGCACACTTTCTTTAATAAGTAGTGCAGTTAAACTGGTCTATTCAAACTACACAAAACTACAATAATGATAGGCCCTATAAGAAATAAAGTATGAGTGATTAGAAGGTGAGTATACTGTACTAAAGATATTTATTGGGCCATTTGTGTACTCATCTAAAATTCTCCACCATTAGCTTTCTTTTATAAGCTGATGGACTGGTGAATTATGGGTTTGAGAGAGAAATTGGAGGAATGGGATCCTGAAATTCACTAAGTTGAACAGAACTGCCACTTGACTCAGGGGGTAGGGGAGCCATTAACAGAATGTTTCAGCATCGACTCGTAGCCTCACCGGTCGTTTAGGGACATCCTTGTTGTTGATTTAAGTATAATCTTGCCAACAGACATCTGTAATAAAGAAAATAAAGTTAGCATGGGTTGTATATACAAACAATTCATAACTTGGACTAAGGGCTTATCTAAAGAGGCAAAAATTGTTGAAAAAATAAAATTGCCAAATTGTCATTACAGTTTGCATCCATGGCACAGTACCACATGTTATATTTCAATAACACCACAGTAGATTACTGCACTAGTGCAAAACATAGAAAATAAAACTAAAATTAACATTTACAAGACAAAAAGCACTAGAGTACAGAAAAATGCATTGCAATCTTGCACATGTGAAAAGCCATAAATCCTCCTACTTTTTTATACCAAACACACACTGGCATCTTAACCCTTTCAGGGTTTCGGACGTATTAATACGGCTTACACACCAGGGTTTTTGACGTACTAGTACACCTAAATTCTAGCGCCCTCAAATCTAGTGAGAGAAAGCTGGTAGGCCTATATATGAAACAATGGGTCTATGTGGTCAGTGTGCGCAGTATAAAAAAAATCCTGCAGCACACAGTGCATGAGAAAAAAAAAAGTTTTGACAGTGTTTTTGGATTAAAACAGCGACTTTGCACTGTATTTTCATATGGTATTTATTGTTGTATTCTAGTTTTCCTGGTCTCATTTTATAGAATGGAAGACATATTACAGAAATTGAGATGATTTTGACTGGTTTTACAATGTGAAATACCTTGAAATTGAGCTCAAAGTAACAGAAATGTTCGATTTTTACCAAAGTTCAAAAGTAAACAAATCATGCCACACATCCAATACACATCAACTGGCGAGTCTAATATTCTTTCACAAGTGCGCTGATATTATTTATACTATTTCTACACTAATGCAGTAGTCTGCATAACAGTAAAGCTTCTATTTTTTGTGAGAATAAAAATTTAAAGTGGAAAGCAAAAGAATATAAGAGGGGCGAGGGGACGTGACTAATGAACAGAGAAAATGTTATTTTAGTGCCAGGAATGTCTTTCTTGTTTATTCTGGACCCTGTTTGGAAATTGGCATCTTTTGAAATTTGTGTGAGATTGCCAAAATAGCTAAATTCTGACCACTTTATTGGATAGTTGAAATCGGTAAATGGGTGATTTCTTGTACTCATTTGATAGAAAAAATGGAGTTATAACGATATAGTTATGATTTTTGTCAACTAGTACATTGGAATTGGCCGAAAATAGGGCTCAAAGTGGGCAAAATTGCTGATGCGTAAACATCGTCGAGACCGCTAACTTTGCAAGAGCATAATTCCGAAAGTTTTCCATCAAATTTCATACTTTTGGTGTCATTATGATCAGGAAAAGATTTTCTATCTTTTCATAAGAAAAACATTTTTTTTTTTTTAAATTGGCAACCCTGAGAACAAGTCTCAGAGAGGGCCTGGGGACCCTGAAAGGGTTAAAACAGAATGTATTACACTCCCTATAAATTGCAAGTTCAACAATCACAGTGTTTGGTACATCAATGTGTCACTGTTATTTGTGTTAATTTAAAAAAAATGCATCCACATGCATCTTCCTCAAAGTGGAAGCACACAGCTTCTGCTGAGTGAACAAAAAACATATTCTACCTGTTTTAGTTCAGGAAATATAGTAATAAATGTTTAATGGTGCCCTCATAATGTCAGGATATACAGCAGGGCCCCACTTATATGGCAGGCTAGGTTCCAGGCTACCGCCGGAAAGCAGAATGTTATTTTTTCCACTTACAAATGCATATAAATGCCAGGTAAGTTTACACTAACAAATATTAAGTTAGCATTAGAACTAGGCATTAAAAACAATAAAAGGTAAAATACACACACAGAACACTCATTACCTACATTAAAATACAGTGGACCCCCGCCTAACGATCAGCTCCCAACTTGACCAATTATGTAAGTGTATTTTTGTAAGTGCTTTTGTAGGTGTATTTTTGGGGGTCTGAAACGGACTAATCTAATTCACAATATTTCTTATGGGAACAAATTCGGTCTATAACGGCACCCAAACAGACTTCTGGATTGAAATAATATCGTTATGCGGGGGTCCACTGTATTTGTAGTCTTAACCCCTAAACGTTCCAAACGTATATATACGTTCTCTAGCCCAGCACCGCGAATATTTTTTGGGGAAAATTTTTTTTTTTTAATAGAAATAAAGAGCACATTTTTTTAAGTGTTATAGGATAAAAAAAATTTAGGATCAGTACTTACTGAGATATGAGGCCGTGAAGTTGGCACTTGGCGATCACCTGACGGCAACATGGAGTGCTGCCGCTTGCAGAAATTCTACATACATGCATTTACTTTTTTTTTTTTTTTTTAATTTTCTTGGTTTTCATATGATATGATAATTATGTTTTCTAGTAAATCTTTTGATTCCAATGCCAATTGTTGTTTATACACCAATATTATATACGAAATTATCATCATATTGTCATAAACACACATGTACACACAGACAGGTGATTTTGCACACCTGGCTAAATCACATTCTATTATCTACAACTATATATAAGTATTTACATGTCCCACTTATGTTTCTAGAATTCCACGATTGTATGATACCCCATGAAGCATGGATTCATACACCCCACACTGGTGACACATGAATCGTGTGTCCTTCCACTGTTGGGGTCGTTTTGTGGTGGTAGCACACAACACACTTTTTCTGAGAATTCTTCTTCTTGGGGGTAGGTGGTATTGGTACCAGGTAGTGACAGTTAGGAATGATTCGGTCTGGCACTTCCCCCACTGGCTGAGGTTGTGTGACAAGTCGCTGTTGAGGGGCAGGTACAGGTGTGGTACCATACTTTCTTGCTATCTGTTTTACAACATTCAGGGAGAATTCTGCAAAACGTTGTCGTTTTCCAGTCTTTATTTCGTACATACTGAATGCATTGAGCACTGCAATGTCTACAAGGTGAAAAAACAGTTTTATATACCACTTGCGACTCCTACGCATACAGTCAATGAACCCTATCATCATGTCACACTTGTCAAATAGTCGCATATTGTTTGTATAGTCCACGACAGCAGCTGGCTTTACAATCCTTCATTGGTCTCCCTGTTCACTTTTCTGCGTTAAATCTTGTTTGTGGTGGTGGAGAAGCAATACATTGTCATGCCACGTCAGTGCCATGATGTCATTAGCAGAAACATTGCTACTGCAATTTAACACTGCTCCACTGAACCTTGGTATTTGTATTTCTATTCCTTCTCACTGTTCCTATATACAGTATGTGGAAATCAGCGAGCATACGGCTTGTACCAGTTGTCTGTGATTGTATGGCCTTGCCAAGCATGTCTTATCACCGCGACACACACAGAAATGCTCAATCATCGTCAATCGAGTTTTCTCCCGTGTACACAATAATTAAACACAAGACCACTCTCACAGTCCACACAAAGTTTTATACCAAGATACGTTTTCAATTTATTGCTTGAATGAAGGCGTCCCTTGATCAAGGACCATCACAACAATGTTCTTGAGAAATAAAGTATCACTGATTTTCTGCTCAAACATAAACACTTCGAAATTTTGTACAGAGGTCATTTATTTGCGTATTCTGGTGGAAAAAAGCCACAATTTCCAACAGAGTGAATCTGTTGCAGGAAGGAGGTCATGAAATTTCTTGGGTAGTTGTATGTGGTCTGTGGACAGTAGTACATATATTGTTCTTATAGGGTATGTGGCTTATAGATGGACATGGCAGGACATAAATAAATTTAGCCATTTTTGTGTCTTTCCACCTGCTCAGCCATGACGATTCTCCAACCTTTGCTGTGTTGTCCGTGACATATCGGTAATAATTGTTTGTCTGGGTCACTATCAAGTTCATTATAGACTCGTCAGAGTATAACTGGAAAAAGTCTAACTCTGTAGACTCATTGGTTAGGGGACATCCTGGCTGGATGCCACTTCCACAAGGCCATGACACAAATATACTTTGTGTCCAGTTCCATTCGTGATCACATCGTGCAGGGTGGACCTGTGACATGGGGCGAGGGGGAGCAGGAGGAGGGACAGGAATGGAGGCAGCACATGGTTGAGGGGGTGCCGGGCGGTCCTTTGTCTGTCCACCCACTGCGCCATGTGGTCCAGGTACTGTGCCACCCACCACTACTTCCTCCATCCCCGCATATTCACCTTCGTGATCACTATCACTATCAGTGGCCGGGGGTTTTGGATCGTGACCTGCCACGACCCTTGGGAACTGCATATGGCACACTGCCTGAACGCAGACGCCGCCACCTAAAAATACACTTCACTGGTGAAAAATGAACTTCACTATCGCTAGACGAATCCTTGAATGGCATAAAATCAATCTCCTTGTCACTTACATCACTATCACTAAAACACCGGGAAAATGAAAGTTTCCTCTTGCGAAGTTGCCTATGGGTAACACTCGCCACTCCAGAGGTGCTTGGCCCAGGGTCTTGTGTGGCCACACTGGGCACCCCAGAAGTGCTTGGCCTAGGGTCTGCTGTGGCCACACTGGCTACCCCAGAGGTGCTTGGCCCAAGGTCTGGTGTGGCCACCCCAGAGGTGATGGACTGAGGGTCATCTGGGCTATGAACGATATTTTCACTAATTTCTTGAATATTAGTGGCCCCGTTGGTGTCAAATCCACTAAACTCACACTCTATATCACTTTCTTCGAATAGTAGAGTGTTAATACAACGAGGTGTGAGTGAATCACGAGGATGTGCCATGATGTTGACCCAAGATGGAGCCGAAACTAACTGGTCCTACCATGCGGTACCCAGGCGTCCCGATTTTTTCATATGGCGCACACTGAGTATGCAGACCCATTCTCTCATGTCTAGGCGATTCAGGCCTATTGCGCCAATTTTGAAGGAATGAAAAATGAAATGTATATATACGCTCGTGGCGCTAGAGGTAAGAACGTATACATATATATGTTTGGATCGTTTGGGGGTTAATGTAGGGTGAGAGGTGATTAACATTTATTTGTAGGAAGTCAGGTGTGGGAAGTATGGTAGCCAGCCAGGCCAAGCC